GATTTCAGACGTAAAAACAAACAGTCTGACTGATTCAGATTTCAGACGTAAAAACAAACAGTCTGACTGATTCAGATTTCAGACTTCAGCACCACCTCTTAAAATTCAGAAGTGAATTCAGATTTCAGACTTCAGCACCACCTCTTAAAATTCAGAAGTGAATTCAGACTTCAGACTTCAGCATCTCTTAAAAAACAAACGCCACCTTAGGGTCATTTTTTACTAAGGCCCTGTTTGTTTTTTGAAAATCTCCTCTTAAACACCTCTTAAGTCTGAATCAGTCAGACATTTGCATTTTCAGACCGTTTTTTTTTTTTCAAAATAAGAGCTTAAATGGTGTACCCATCTTTTGAATTTTTAAGTGACAAACCTGGCCCTCATTGCCTCTTAAATCTTAAACGTAAACACCTCCGCCTCTAGACCTCGCTCTGATCGCTCGATTTCAAGCCTCGATCTCTCCTGGTGCTCTTGATCTCTTCTGGATCTCTCAAACAAAGGCAAATATTATTCTTCTTCCATCCTCACAAATCACATATACACTAGAAAGCTTTTACTTTTGTGGCTTAGTTATTTCTTTCACTCTTTGTTTCTCCTGCTTTTCTTGTTGGTTTCCTGCCTTATTTTGCATTTCCATCTCTGGATTTCTTGCATCTCTCTCACTCTCTCTCTTCCATTCTCTCTCTATTTAGATTTTGTCTTGGGTTTTGTGGCTCTGATTTGAAGGAAATTTGTGGGTTTTGAGATTTGAGATAGGTCTGGTCTGCATAGGGATGGAAATGTCATTTCACTTCACTTGTCTATCATTGATATGAAGTCTTGCTCTATGATTTTGTCATTCAAGTACTGTTGATCATCTGGTTAGCAAATCAGATATATACTGAAAAGAATTAACATGAATGAAGTTTGTCCAATTTCACTGCAGAATCTACGGGCATGTGGCTGTTTGAGCAACACCTTAAACTATTACTTTATGGAAGTGTAGCAAACTAGCAATGTGTTTGTTGCATTTTCTATAAGTAAATACATTTCAATGGTCACAGAGTATTATGTATTTGACTTGATCTGAGAGTTCAGAGTGTAGCAAACCATTTACATTTTTGTTGTCTTGCCTCATGTCTTATAGCTGGTATGTCATGCACCATGGTGCAAAGGTGCTGCACATTTTGAAGGTGGTGACTCACCATTTAGTATGGTGTGGCAACAGAAGTGCAATGGCACAAAGTTTTTGGCTTGAGAAGTTTTCACTTCTGAACAGTAGTTACTGTAATCCATTACATATAGGAAAGTGATTTCTGAAAGAACCTGAAAGTTGTTGCTTGGTTTGGTATTTATTGCTTATATTTTGTTATTGAAGTTAACTTTTTCTTGTAATAATGCTTTATAATGCAATGGTGACTTCTTCATTGAAGCTACTTTAAGGAAAGAAGAAGGCACAACTGTTGTTATGATTGCCATCTACTATTTTTTTCTTTAAATTGTGGTGTCCTATCTTTTGCAGGGACATCCAAAAGCCAAAACTTTAAAAACATCACCACTGACATTTCTTGAATTGTGTATAGCTTTGTTCGAGAAGACTTTTGCTACTGGATCTTGTGCTTATGCCCCTCGTTCAACCCGTGAGAGGACTAGGGTTTCATCATCATCATTTACATCTCATATCCACACTACCCAAAATGAGGAGGATGGAGATGAGGAGGAAGGACCAATTGTCGATAAATCGAGTGCAACTTCGTATAGACCGAATAAGAAGAGTAAAACCAAGGTCAACATGGATGAATTGGCTTCTGAAATGAGGGGTGCACTTCAGACACTTGTTGCATGACAAACCTCAAACCTAAATGCTTGTTTTGAACGGTTGAACGCTCTTGGCCTTGATATAAGGAGTCCTCTTTATAATGCAGCCATTGACATTTTTGGCGAGTCAACATTATTAAGAGAGACATGGTTGGTGATCCCTTCAGACGCTGATATATTAATATCATGGATTTCAAGGACAACAAAAAGATTGGGACTTATGGAGTAGTTTTTGGAATTTGAACAAGTTACCTGGTTACATGTTTTGTATTTGAACATGTTATTTGTTTATGTGTTTGATATTTGACTATTTGGTTACATAGCTTTTGTATTTAAACAAGTTTTTGGAAGTTGAACAAATTGTTATTTGGTAATGCATTTGATATTAAACATGTTGTTATTTATAATCTTATTTATGTTTTTAACAAGTTTATCATGGATAATAATCAATGCATCATGAATAATAATAAAAAAGACCATACTTCTCGTCGTCATATTCTAGTATATGTTCTACTTGCGATAAAGGTGCTTGAAAAGAAAAAAAGATAATACGTCTGCAATGACTGCACGTCAATTTTGGATGAGCTACTTGAAGGTAATGATAGGCAATGTATTGAGTTGTTGTGAATGTCCCGTGAAGCTTTTGTTCGACTATGTGATCACTTTAAAGCAAAAGATTGGTTAACCGATAGCAAACATATATTGATCGAAGAAAAAATGGTTATCTTTTTGATGATTATAGGTCACAATCAACGTAATAGAGTGTTGAAAAATAGGTTCCAACACTCAACACAAAAAATTCATAAAAAAATTCATTAAGTGTTGAATAAAATGATCGAGTTTGCTAAAGAGATCATAGTTTCTACATCATTCAATCATAATCCAGACATCTATGGGAATAATAGAAGGTTACGATGAATATTTAAGGTAAATAATAATTCAATAATAGTTGTATAACTTTCTTTATTAAATTTATTTTGACTACTAGCTTTAATGTATGGAGCAATTGGTGTTCTTGATGGAACTTTAATACATTGTCCCTATTCAAGAACAACATTTATATAGAGGACGAGGAAAAGGTGAATGTTATCAAAATGTTTTGGCAATTTTTAACTTCAACATGGTTTTTACATTTGTTGTTGTCAGATGGGAAAGAATTACACATGATTCTAGAGTTCTGTCTGAAACTTTAACAGATGATGTTATTGGATTTTTATTTCCTTCTTCAGGTGTACTAATGATTTTAGAGGTAATATATTTACTATATTCATATTAATAGCTATTTTATTTATTGTTTTCAAATAAATATTATCTATGTGATGTTGCGTATACAAATACTCGATGATTTATGGCGTCGTATCATAATGTTAGATATTGGTTCAGAGATTTTCGTCGTCGACGAGCAATGAACAAGTATAAAAAGTTTAATCATTCTCATGCAAAGCTTATAAATGTTATTGAATTCTTATGTTGTCTTGAAAGCACATTTTCGATATTGAAAAGAATAGCACCATTTACACTTGAGGTTCAAAGAGACGTAGTTATTGCATGTTTTGCGGTTCACAACTTCATACGAAAGGAAGGTTTAAGTGATGAGTTATTTTTTGAGCATGATCAAACCAACAGGCAAGGGGACGATGGCGAGGATGAGGTGGAAGAGGTTCAATCGCATGGGAGTGCTGCTGACCAAATATATATGGCTAGTTTAAGAGAAGAAATTGCAACACAATTAATGCAAAATGAATATTGATTCTAGTTGTTATGAGAAATTGTTCGTGTTTAATATTGTGTTTGGAATCGATTGATGTATTTCAGTTGAAGTTTTGAATGTGTTAAAAATAGGTGGTAGTTTACAAATGGTTTTAATGATTGGATATTTCAGTTTAGTTGAATTTAATTAAAATGAATTGATTCAGATTTCAGACTTTAGACGTTTGTCAGTTTACATAACAAACATTCTTATTGATTTAGATTTCAGACTTAAGACATAAAAACAAATAATCTGACCAATTCAGATTTTAGATTTCAAACTTCAGACGTAAAAACAAATGGTCTGACTTTTTCAGATTTCAGACTTCAGCATCTCTTATAAATCATAAGTGAAATCAGACTTCAGCACCTCTTATAAATCCAGAAGTGAAATCAGACTTCAGCACCTCTTCAAAAACAAATGTTACCTTACTGCCTTTTATCGGGTAACTAAACACTTCTTGACTCTTAACGGGTAAGAAATTCTTACCTGGTCAAATGTCATGGTATTTACCGACAACCTTACGGTCCTTACCAAGTCATTTTGCTAACGGAAATCTTACACAATAAGCGAGGGTAACGACTCTTACCTGGTTACCACTTATTCCGTTTATGTTGTAACGCCAGAGTGCTGCAATCAGCACGATTCGTGATGTGGAGATTGAAAGATTACATACTACTCTTCGCTTGCTAAATTCCAATATGAGCAACGAACAACTACAAACTTTACTCATGATATACTGAATTATTGGGTATCCGCTTATTTGTGTCATGTTTTAGGTTCTAGAGGAGCCATCCGACACTCATGTTCTTGGCATAGAAGATTATCTGCAAACTCCCGGGGTATGCTGATCCATATCTTTTTTGTGTCCCCGTTACACGAAACTTATGGGTCGTTTACTATCTGTTGACCGACGCTTATTGTGTAAGACGTGCTTATTTGGTAAAAAAGGGATGTTGTGGATTACCAACAAACTCTGACCCATAGTGGTTGCTTTCAGTGCTCTAATCAACGTTTACCCAGACACATGTTAAACAATTATTTTCAATCAACACTTGCCCGGACCACATTCTTAGTGGCCGTTTACCTAACGCTTACCCAGGTAAGCACTTGCCGCTAAAATTCAGTTCTATCACTTACTTACTCGGTAAGATTTTACTCCATCAAAATGGTATCATATGCAACAATTTACCCGGTAAGTGTCTATCATGGTAAGAGTAGTCGTCTTCACTTACTGGGTAAGACTCTGGATCTCTACTTTCGTTCTTACTGGGTAAGATTCTTGGTCTTTATCATATTCATCCAGTAGTAATGGCCAAAAACCGGTCCCGGGCCAAGCCGGGTCGAGCCTAATCGGTCTCAAGCTTTCTCTTAACCGGCCATAACCAGTCCCAGTCGAAAATGGTAAGACCGGTCAAGGTATTTCATAACCGGTTATGGGCCATCAGTCCCGGTCAACAGGGTTAAATCAGAAGTGAAGTATGAGATCAATAAAAACATAACCAATTTTTGATTGAATTTCAAAATCAGAAGTGAAGTATGGGATCAATTTAAGATACATAGTAAATGGAAGAAGCAGTTAGTTAAATCTGTTTTTGTTCAGAAGAAAAAGAATGATCAACAACCATTCATCATACAATTACAATATATATATATATATTATATATATATATATGTGTGTATATATATATACCAACTAATATATCAATCTATTTTTCTAGTTCAACCAACAATTTCTCCATCATCTTCTTATACATTGGCATGTAATGGTCATTGATCATTGTTCTTGATAACCTCAGTTTACCGTAAAGATCCCGATTAGTCTCGTAAATACCCACATGTTCACGTTCGACTTCACTTTCTTCAATGGCAGTACCGTGATCGTGATCATGATCTTGATCTCGATCAACAGGGTTGCTCGAAACGATTGAAACGATATGCATTATTCTTCCAGGAGGATACAGATGGTGATTTTCGAAAACGTCTGATGAAGAAATCGGCTGTTCACCATCTACTGCATCCGCAATAACTTTTTCTTCTTCTCGGATTTCTTCAGCAGCGGCCTCCTCTTCTTCCTGGGATTGAAAATCCGCCTCGTGCTCTTGCCTTTGAAGTTCTTTCTCGAGCTCATATAATAGTTCGCCTTCGGTGATGTGTTCGGAATTGGATGCAACGTGGTCCACGGGAATAAGAAGTTCTTCTTCGTCTGTGTCCTCGTGCCCAGACCCGGACGCGGGCCCAGGCCCACCACTGGAAGAACAATGGTTGATGTTGTTTGACTCGTGGTCGGGATTGACCGTGTCGGTTGTAAGAGAATCAGGATTCTTTTCAAGTATTAGGGAAGTTTCGGAAAAACCATCGATAGGTGCAGTGCCAACAGCACGACGACGTGCACCCATGCATGACCAAGCGGAAAGGGTAGAACGGGTTCTAACTACAGCCTGAGCGACATTCTGAGCCCGTTTCATCACAACCTGCAGTTTATAAAAGCGTAAATTTCATATGCGTTTCTTGGGTCTATTATTAAACTTGAGAAACATAAAAAATATATAATTGTTTATGCAAAAAGGGTTTGTAACCAGCAAACCATGATCCAGCCACACCGTCAGTCCTAAGATCATCACGTGAAAGGTAAATCAGGTACACAAGAGCCCACTTCCCACAATGAGCCCAGTCCCCGAAGGAATTGTAACTCTCACACTGCAGTTGCAAACTCAAACCCTAGCATGTTTGTGCAAGTATACCAACCACGAACCAACTATGTTACTCCATGGGGATTGGGGCCTAAAATTACTTGGCGGGCTTAAGATCCCGGTGCCCACGGTGAGCCCAATTCCCAAAGAAATTTTAACTCTCACACTGCACAGCCAGACTCAAACCCTAGCATGTTTCTATAAATATACCACCCCGGAACCAATTGTGTTACTAATAGAGATAAAAAAGTAAAATTGAATAACATGTAACATCGACGTAAGAGAACCAAGAGGGTAAGTTTTTACCTGAGTGCTGCTAGAAACAGGACGCAGCATTGCCCCTGCACCAGCAACCTTGGCTCTTGCATTGGCCATTGATGGGAGACGAGAGCCCAAAGCAGTTGCAGAACGATATACGACATTCAAAACCCTAGTTTGCTCAACTTGATCACGCAGATCATTTAACCAAGAGGATGCTGTAACCTATAGATAAAGAACTTCATTAAGAATAGTTATACATGATGCACACATATTCTAGTACTTTAAACTCTTTCAAAAGCCCAGGGTCTTCACGGAAACAGACGCTAAACTATCAGTTCTCCGTACATCCCACCCCCGACCCTACCTCTGAGTGGGATATACTAGGTTATTTTGGTTTGGTTTGGTTTTTTATTTTCATACTTTAATCACAGAAAAGTAACATGATCTGGTCTGGAAATCATACAATGGATGGAACTCTTTTATTTCTGCAAACACCCACAAGTTTATCAACACACATACATATCTGGTAAATAAATTGAGAAAGAAGTACTAGGCTAAGATCCTCCAGAAAGAAATCAGGAAAATACCCCTTAAATTACGACAATTTTGGGGATGATGTCTGAACTTTGATCTTTGTATATTACTCAGGATTCAGTTAGCTGCTTTAGTTTCTCAAGACGGAAGCAGGATCTTTAACTCGTAGTGAATTACAGAACAGGATAGAGGGACGATTTTTCAAGACAATTATAATGCTCAAGTACAGTACCTCAGTGCGAAGATCATCTATAGAAGCAGTTGAGAATGTGGGCACCAGATCAGAGCCATTGATTATTGTGGTGATAAAGTGCTTTCCAGACTCTGCCAATTCCCAAGTCATGCAGGCAGCTGCAAAAGATGAAATTCAGTATCAATAATCAGAACTCAAACCTCACATGAAACCAGCACAGGTTTAAATGATCTGAGATGCTTACAGTAGTAAATACACAAGCATGTTAACAGAAGTAGGTAAAAAGCTGCATGGGGAAGATAAAAGACCCCCTCCCCCTTTTCACTCCCTCTCTGGTGACAGTAAGCAATTACTCCTTATAGTTTGATTTTCAAAGTAATGAACTTGGATGTTTCTGGAAGCAAAGAAATCTATTGAATATAAACAAAATCTCCAATGACTTGCAATATGAGTGGTCCTGTTTGTATACAGATCATCTTATTCAAATTTTCAACTGCTCAAACTTATGGGACATGGATAACCTATAACCTTTGCTTGCATCCAGATACTCAATGCTTCCCCCATGCAGTCCTACAACATACAATCTTCTTACTTCTACTCATTTATTCTTCTTTTTTCTGCCTCCTACCTTTAAAGCTTTCTCCACCATGTCTCAAACTCAATCTCTCATTTGTAAGTCTGTTTGAATGCAACTCCATGCAGAAAACCATCTCCTGCGTTCAGCCTCCACCCAAACCTGCACCTTGTGAGCAATAACTTATGCTACTCTCGTACTCCTTGAGCTATAATTTTAATCTTGGAGGCTATGTTCCTTAATATTCTTGTGAATCTCAAAGCACATATCACAACTCTTAACCGATGCAGCCTACCCCGTATTGATGGTTTTATCAATTTCAAAGAACTTTCCCACCACCATTTTCTTCTGAGAGGAGTTGAACCATCATCTCCTCCTTATGTAGCATTTTCCTCCCTCTATGTTATCAGACACTCCCCAGCTCCTTTTCTATTGATGATGAAAGGAGAAGATTGTATAAACAAACTGTTTCATTGATACTCCCCCCACCCTAAAGTAAGTGTCCACGACAGAAATGGCACAGTTTTAGACGTGCATATTTACTACACCTTTTAGTTAACCAAATGACAACTTCCCCCTTAATTACTTTATCTATCTTATCAACTCTTAAATATTTGTGCATTAGTTAATGGCAGATTTGGAAATTATGTTATCTATTTTTGAAACTGGACACTTATTTTGGGTCGGAGGGAGTAGTTGCTAGGTTCAGATGATGCTTATGTTTGATATTTTAACTTTCAGTATATTGCATATTTATCGCTAAAAGGGATGTCATAGCCCATAATCACTATACAATAAATAATGAAACAGGTACCACTCAGCTTAATTCTCTCTTATTTTTCTTGTCTTCATCTATATCCTTAATTCCTTATAACTAAACTGTCTCATCATCAAAAAAAAAGGTGAGATTGTGAGAAAACAAATATCCCTTAGTCGGTTAGCTTCATGTAGCTCAATCCCATTGATCTGCACAGGTACAAACTGGGGCACAAGCTTTTTGTGATGCAACTTTTAACATCTTTAACATCATTGCAAGTTGTGAAGATTTGGGATTATAGGACTAATCTAACATACGCTGATTACTGCATTGTTGAAGAACGGCGACAATGTTAGAACCTATGATTCTCCTCCTTGAGAAGGTATTAAAAAAAACTACTAGTAAAGTATTAAAAAACTACTAGTAACTAGCGTAAGGTTGATTATATTTTATATATAGCACCAAACAAGAAAGGGAAAGAAGGAAGACTTTCTTATCACGTAACTTGTATTTTGAAGAAAAGAAAACACCAAGGGGAACACATTGATGGGATCAGGTCCTACACTACTAATGGCCCTTATCAGGTATCAGATAAGTTTGGTGAACATTCTTTTTCATATGGACCATCCAAATTTTAAGATTTTGATCAAGACAGTTCCAAATGAAACGGTTTATTTGCATGCCCTTATAGAAGAATGTGTCATCAGGGTGATCCTGAAAAAATATAAATACTTAGAAATGATATATCAAAACCACTGTCATCAGGGTGATCCTAAAAAATATGAATACTTAGAAATGATATATCAAAACCACCTTTTTCACCAGAATGATTCTTTTATGAAATTATAGATCATCCTTGTTTCATTAGGATGCTCCTGAAAAATCTAAACAAACTTCTACAAACAATTTTTTCTATTAGAATGTTCCTTCTATGAAAATATTGATCAGCAGTTGACCATGATGCTGCTAACACCTTGATTTCCTTGGTAAAGGGAAGAAAAACAAGGGGGGAGTGGAATGATGAAGTACAAGAACAGTACATGCCTGGTGCAAATGTGATGCATGAAATTGATGACAAGTCCTTCTGTTCTCGAAGAATGTATGTTAAGAGTGCAGCGGTACCACCACCAAGTGAATGACCAACAATCTGCAAATAAATGCAAAAAGCTAATTAGAACACTCATTTAATTAGTGGAGGATTGATACTGAAGTTACACAGTATGTGATATGACGTATAGCTGATGAATTTAGATAAAAACTATTTGCATTAAACACATTAACCTTGTTGGTAGTCATTTCTACTAAGAAGCTTATGATATCATTAAAAAGAACTAAATATTTTGCTATTGGATAGTATAGTATAGTATGCCTGAGGCAAAGAAAGAATTGATCTCCCTCCATCCCAAAAAGGGCATCACTTTCCATTTTCAGTTGTCCAAAAAATGCATTGTTCCCTTTTTGGGGAAGCTTCAATCAGAATTTACTTTTTTGCCCATTCGCAATCATTACTTAGAATTAATAACTTCGATTTTGGTCCAAAAAATTTTATGTTTTGTCCTTATTAAGGGAAAATTTAAGCATTCAATAGTCAAAACATTTTCATTAAACTATGTCCTAAGTCAAAAGTTGCATCTTTTTCTTGGATTACATTATTATTTTATTACAATTTTCACAGGCAATTTTATGTTTCCAAGTATGCAACTAAGTGACTGTATGGTGTTCAAAAAGTATATATAACTAACAATCAAGAAAAGTAGTGGCCATATGATGTTAAGATGTTGATGCCATTTTTTGTTGTGGTTTGGAGCACTCTTCTTTGTAATCACAAAGATAATTGCTCCGGGATGTAGAAATGGCTTTCCTTGAATGAGCATCTCCATTTCAACTCAAATCTGAGGCATAGAGCCGAAAAGTCAAAATGCAAATAGAGAAACATATATTATCACATGATATAAAACTTTGAATTGACAACACGAAACAGGTTTGATGTACCAAAATCTAAATTATAATCAGATGTGATGCAATAAAACAATGCCAAAAAATATTCTTAATGTTAGTGAACAAGGCTCATGTTTACTTTCAAATTTTCAACCTGATTGCATGATTCCTAAATGCCAGTACAAAGTTTGTCTCGTTACATGTAATCAATAATACTTCGTAGTTACATGTGCATAGATCATCTTAAGCATCCACCTGAGCAGCAATTAAGCGTAAATATCACTTCCGCATTCAAAAGACATAAGAAATATACTTAGGCCAGAAAGAAAATCTACCTTTACTTCATAACCAGGGTTGTCATTCAGGGCTTCAAGCAAAAAAGGAATACTGAGCTTTGCAATCCACCGAGCAGCAGCAACCATCCCACAATGTGCATAACCTAAAATAAGATTACTTATCCCACCATCATGTAAAACTGAATGGTGAAAAGGAACTACAGCACCAGTTGCTGCTGTCAGTGTATCTTTGATACTATGAGTGCCCCGAATCAATAGAAGGAAGCATTTAGAATTTTTATCACTGAGAATCGTGAAGGCAGGCTTCAAAAGCTGCATTCATTGAAAAAACAGCACCCTCAGTGATGTAAACAAGTACACCTTGTTATTAATAAACTACAACTTCTATAATATCAGAGCATTGCCAAGGTTTCCATACCCCTGCTTTCGGCTTCTGCAATAGGACATCTGCTTCTGAATAGCCAGCAGACTCCAAAAAAACTGGGAAAGGTTTCTTTGAAAAAAGCATGCAAAGAGTTAACAACTTCAAATACTGTTTCAACTCTTCAATGATTCCTGGTCCCTTGAGCTGTATACTATTTTCTCCAGCATATACACTGGCTACTTGTACATTACCCTGAATCAACATTTATCACATCAATACAAGTTTACACCGAAAGAAATTGCAATAAGCAGTTTGACATAAAGCAATATGTCTTGTGCAAAAATTATTAATGTTCATTCTTCAGCATGTCAAAGTATTACAACCACAATTAAGATTTGGTGATTCCTAGAGATAACCTCAATTCTGACTTTGGGATAGATCAAGACCTATACTACAAAACGCAAATCACAAAGGATCGAACCAATCTACAACATGTACATAGCATAGTTAGAAATAGTGACCCAATTCGCAGTCTCATTCATTCTAGCTCTGTTCCAGTTACAGATATACACTGATTTTCTAGGTCTAATGGACTACCTTAGTACCTTTCACTTCAAAGTGGATATAAATTCAATGACAGGTAGTGGAAATATTACATTGGAACAAACCCATGTCAGTATTATGATTCAAAAGTCATATTTCCAATTGAAGGATATGTTCTATTGTTTTTCAACTGAAGGTAGTCAAACGGCCCTCAATTAAACTAACTAACTTTTTACCCTCGTCTTCTCCAATTTAGATTTCTCTGGACAATATTGATAATTAAAACTACAGGTGTATAACAAAAAATACTAAACCAACTTTTCTCAAGGGAAAATTCAAGAGATCAAGTGGTAATGCGCAATGCAATCATAATGAACTCAAGACAACACATCACCGATCGAATCAAATCACAACCCTAGATGTATAAAGGCTAAAGCTTTACCAGGTCTCCTTTGGCTCAATGATACCTTGCCCAACTTGAAAGATGAACCCCAGTTGTTTAGGTCTTACATGTTCCACACTTTTGGCCATCAAATAAATCAACTCGAACTTTAGAAACTAAAACAGACCAAGAAAAGAAGGCGTTACCTGCCTTCGCAACAAATAATTGATGCCGAAAGCCAAGTCTCCAATAGGCCATTTCCCTAGGGTTTCTGAATATGTAAATCTAAGCGTCTCAGATAGAGTCGAAATCGTTTCAAACCACGTGGCAGGCGCCTGAGCTGGCCTCCTCTGCGCGATCTTCCTCTTCGATTTACTTGATTTCATATATTCCCGTCCCTCATCATCGTCGGCAGCCTTCGCATCAGCAGAAGACAATCTCCGAGCCAATACATAGTACAATAACACCACCGCCCCCGCCGCTGTCGCCATTGTCGTTGCCGCCATCCACTCAGCTCGGAAGTTCGCTTAATCACGACTTAACAACCTTTTGACGGTGTAATAGTCGAGTATAAGTCCTGATTTGATCAGATTAACTCTAGATTGGATCAATAATTTGTAGTTTAACAAGAATCATGGAAGTTGATTTGCAATATCTTGCACGAATTCGTCGAATCTGGAGAGAGAAAGTTGCGAAACAGCGGAACAAGCAACGGAGAAGAGATGAGGAGAGATTAAGACGAGATGCTGAAATTACCTTCTTGTCCTTTTAAACAGCTAAATATCTGAAATTAGTATATTTGACTTGATATAAATACACAATATATATACTAGAAGAGTATTTGTGCAATATAGCGAGACACATCTTGATTTTAATATTCTATTTTATTATCTGTCTTTGTGATGTTATAATACGATTTTATGTATTTTTAAAAAAGCAATAATGATTTTATTTTTCAATAAAATATAAATTTAAAAATATCATAAAGTTCTTTAATTTATTTATTTTTATTATAATTTAATTTAAATTTAATAACGAAATAATTTATTTTTGGTTTAATAATATAATATTTTATAAAGATAATAATCAAGTATTCTGTTAGAACTCAATGATTATTCTAATTATATTTTAGAATTTTTATGTTTAAAATGAAATGTTTATCTTATATTTGATTATATTTAGCTACAGTTAGTTACACGAATTCAGATATAGATCTTTAATAAGTTGTACTTACGCACAATCTACTTGTAATCTTGAGTTTTAAGTAATATGTATTAAGAAACAGTACTTTACGCATAAAAAGTGGTTTTTAAAAGTTTATGTCAAATGCTTTATAATATAGTATAGATATATATATATGGTTGGATTCACATGAGATCAAGGGTTTTTCGTGAGACCCGTAAGAATAATTTATGTTCATTGATCAACTTTTGCTTAAAATATGATTTGATTTTTCATATACTACAAATGTACTCGTGCAATGCAGACAATACATCTCGATTTTAATGTATGTCTTGTTCTTTATTTCTATTGATTTTTATGATACAGTTTGTATGATATTTGAGAAAGCTAAAATGCTTCCAGTTGCTTATCAAGTTTATGGAGTATTTTGATGTCGAAAGTTCTTGTTTTTTTGTATAAATGATTAGTTTAATGTTTTTATTATAATTGAATGTATTTATATTTAATGATGAAAATGTAATTTATTTCAGTTTTAATAAGGTAATATTTTTTTATAAAGATAATAATTAAGTATTATGAGTTCATAATGATAATTTTATTTTACATTTAAAATAAAATATTTGTCTGGTATTTAATTACGTTTATCAGGTATTTATATTAATTCAAACATGCAACTTTATATAGTTGTACACATGCACCATTTACTTTTAATCTTGAATTTTAGAAAATATGGATCGATAAACAGTACTTGATACATAAAAAATGATTTTTAAGACTTTACCTCGAATGTTGTACAATATAGTATTGATATCTGGTAATAAGTAAATTTGGATTGCATTCTTATTAGAATTAAAATGTAAAATAAAAATAGACAAATAAATAAAATTCGTAAGATTATATTTATAAAATTTGATTTTATATATGTTTTAAATCGTTAAAAATTGGTTATATGTAGTTTGTAATATTCTTTTTTTCTATTAACCTAGATATCCAACCCGCTATGCGAGCCGACTAATTATAAGACGACCATTTGCTTTGCAGGTAGCCCGGAATCATTGCATTTGAACCTCCGTGGTCAGAAGGGGAATACTCAATAAAACTAGATGAACTTGAAACAGATATTGCAATGCCAGCAAGGATTGATGCTTCCAAACCCTAAAACTCAAACCAAAATCCTCGAAATCCAAAATCAAGTAAAAAAGCAAATTTGGGTTTAAAGAACGTGTCTTTATCTGGTGCGGCAAAAAAAATTACGTTGATGCTTCGTTGAAAAGCTTACTGGCATGGGAAGATCATATATGTAACGTGTTTGGAATTAAGACAGTCCAAACTCTCATTTTATACAGCCTAGTTGATTCTCAGTGAAAACAGGTGGAGTTTTCATAATAAATATTGAATACAACCCTGGGCCCCATTCTCCATGTCACAAGATACGATGTTTTACTTTATCCATGATGGTTGTGAGACCGGTATGATAAAGACACTAAAAAAAGATAGCACAAACCACTTTTTCCTTAGCCCTATGGGCATAATAGGCATTCCAAAAAAAATGTTGTAATATAAAATTAATGTTATTAACGATAATAACCCATAGGGGCTGAGTTCCGGTAAGAAGCGTAAGTAGAGATTTTCATCCTTGTATACACATTAGGATGAGATGCACCGAGATACACCGGATCAATATCAAGCGTGATTCATGGGGGGATTTGAGATTAAAGATGATCAAATGTCCAGATCCCTTCTTACGCTTCTCACATTAACTTTCTTTCTCACAAAATCATTTGTCTAAGGGGCTGTTTACCCAAATGTGTTGGACCGGTAACTGCACTAGGGAGCCGCCCACGTGATATTGTCCGCTCTGGGCTGCCCCGGGGTTTCCCCGCATCGCAACAACCCCTCACGGTTTTGTTTTCTAAAACGCGTCACAAAAAAAACGCGTCACTGGTAGGAGAAGACTCCCACTTCCTTATAAGGAAGAGAATACTCCCTAGCCTCACCGATGTGGGATGCTCTTGCATTGCTACAGGAGCGGTGGGTTTAAGGACGAGGATTTGACCTGCCGAGGGAACACCGAGTCTGCTGACCCAACAAAATGCTTACCCGGTAAATGCTTACCTACAAAAGTCAACACTATAATTTATTTTGATGACTAAGATTTTTGTACATCAAAACGTATTGAATGCAACAATTACTTGGTAAACGCTTATCTGGGAAAGAATCGTAATCTTCACTTACCGCGTAAGACTCTCCATCATTCTCATCGCTCTTACCCAGTAAGATTCTTGGCCCTTATCATGTTCATCCAATAAGAAAATTTATTCAGTAAGTACTTTACAAATAATTGTTTAGTAAAAGGCTTCTAACTCATAGAATACAAAGTAATTAATTATCTTATAATAACAATTTCCACACCAATTTTTCTGTATTTATATTGTTAATTTTTTAAACGTCACTTATTAATTGTCAAAGGATAAATATTTATATTTCGGTATTAAATTAAAAAAAAAAATTACTCATATATACTATCTTATAAAACAAATTTAGCAAAAGTTTTAAAGTCTTAAAATACTAAATGACCAAGATACCATTTATACACTTTTTCACCCCCTCATCTCCTCACATGCACTCACCCCCTCGCATACACTCATCCTCTCACAATCAATTTTTTTTAAATTATAATTTTAAATTTACACTTTATACCCCTATAATTAGTTAATTAATTTACTTTACGTTCTTTAYTTTTAAATGTTTCATTTTAAACTTTTTTCGAATTAATATACATAATCGTACATCAATTAAAACATGTTTAAAAAATACACTTTTATTTTAACAAGTTATACTATTATAATCGTCTCTTTAATACCTTCGAAATGAGTCCAATATTGAATAGTTTTTGACTTAATTAAATTATTATATATTATATATACTGTGAAAAAATATTTTTAATATTTACGATTTATATTTTTGTAGTTATATATATATATATATATATATATATATATACTATATATTTTTTGGTTAGGCTGTCCAAAGTGCACTATATAATATGTTATGAATTAATATATTCTTGGGTTTTTTTGAAATATATATATATATATATATATATATACATATACATGTATTAATTCAACCTTAATTTGAGTTTCTGGACAAGAAATAGGGTAAACAATTGAGATCTCATTTTAAAACTCATCTTTTTGGTCTTTGCATGGCTTATGATCTGTTAAATTTGTAGTTTTCTTTATTGGTTTTGAGTGTTTATGTTAAAACTCAAGTTTCTTGGTTATTTGCTCTTGGTGAAATCGAACACATTTGTAGAGTCGTTTAAATATATTGGATTTTAAAYTGTCATACAATTTTTTTCATCGATAGTCTGTAATTGGAACCATAACTCKTATTTATTCAAATTGTATTAATATGTAAAGACCAAGTGTAACATATATCATCGTTAAATTTTATCTTATAAAACCAGTAAAACTTCAAAATCGTTAAAATTCATGGCTTCTGGCGCATTGCGCGGGTACACAACTAGTTTTATATTAAAAATCAAAATAAACAAAATAGAAATTAAAAGGGTATTATGGTAATTTAGAGGGGTACGTAGGGAGAAAGGAGTAAGGGTATTATCGGGAAAAGTAGAATGGTATCCTAATAGACATTGCAACTGTTTGCCGCGTGGGTAGCGGGACCAAAGGTGCACGGTGCATCTGCTACACTTTGTTTGATTGTATATGATAATAATGATTTAAATAGAAATAATAATAAAATTATAGAGTAAACTACGCTTTTAGTCCCTATGATTTAGTGTTTATAACAATTTTCGTCCCTATGGTTTAAAAACCGTTTTTTCATCCCTGTAGTTCACATTTCATTTCGCTTTTCGTCCTTCATCCTAACACGTTAAATTATGGGTAATGTGGTCTTTTTATCTTTTTTTATATTTAAATGCATTAGATATTACACATGTACAATTTATTAGAAGATTTATCAAACAAATAAGAAGTAAAACAAAAATCTAACCTATAACACAAACTAGGAATGCTTAAAATATCGACCAACCAGTCCAACCCAACTCGAAAAAACTCAAAAAAACTTGATCCAAGGTAATCCGACACATTGCTGATACAAAATTAGATCAACCCGTATCTATTGGGTTAGATTATTTGAACCCAACCCGATGAACCCGATACACATAGACGGACCTAGAGGGGTGGTTAGGTGGCACATGTCACCGTATTGTTCCTCTGTGGTATTGGGAAAAAAAAAAGGTAGGTTCTTGAAAGGTGCAACCGTTTTATTCTAGAAGATGCAACCATTTTATATGGTGCCACTGTATCCAAAAAAATTTGGGTCCGTCCCTGTCGATACACTTTTATATGGTGTCACCGTATCCAAAAAATGTCGTATCCCACATTGGTGGGTGAGCAAAGTGAAAGTGTGTTCCACTCAAATGTTTGAAAGTCTTTTAGRAGGCTTTTGGAGGGAATTGGTAGATGATTAATATATATTAATTAATCAAAGACTTAGCACTTAGTACCTTTGCATCCTTAGAAAAATAATTTCGTTATTATTTTTATACAAATTAATTCTGTTAATGGCGGTTATTTTTGGAGGGAAACCATAATGCGGTTATTTTTGGAGGGAAACCGTAATGGTAGTTATTTTGGAGGGAAAACGTATTGGTAGTTAAATGGTAGTTATTTTTGGTTCGTTTTAACTACTATATAAGGGTGCATATGATCAGATAACAAGCTCTGATACACTTTCAATACATACATAATTACAATCGTTTGATGTTCATGTGAACTTTATGTACGCTGCATAAAGTTCTGTTAGTTGAGGTTGAATCCTAGGAAGAAATTAGTCTCGAACCACCAGCGTAAATAGTGCGGGCTAATATTCTTTAATGACAGTGATTATCACGTCCTCAATTCTGAAGATCTGTCATATTCCAACATGAGTTGGGTTAAATTGAGTTGTAGCTTTGTTTGGGTCAGATTGAGATTTTTCAAACCACAAACATTCGATTGAAGTTTTATTTTTTTTCTTATAAATGATTAATGAACGTATGCCTATCACCTATGCTTTGATAACCTATACGATAATAGTTATTTAATTAAAAAATAAAAATAATAAAAAAGGTTAAAAGGACCAAATTATCCCTAACCTAACAGACCCTTTTAACTCTGTTATTCTAAAGGACCAAAAAAGAAGCAAAATGGAAACCACAACAATGAAAAAAGCAATTTTTAAAGATTAGGGACGAAAATAGTTATAAATGATAAACTACAAGGACGAAAATCATAATTTAATTATATTTTGTTTACTATAAAACTCTTTTCGTTACACATAAAAATCAACATTATTTATTTTGTTATCAAATGTAAATTAAAATAATATTCAGAGTTAATTTACGGGTTGCGTCGAAAGGTAGTTTAATGTGGGATACAGAATAAAATTTGGATTAAAATTATATATGTTTCATCATTTACCTAATTATACGATCTCTTGACCTTTAGCTCAATTATAATATGTTATGGGTTGTCTGGTTGGTTTTCAATTAAGTCTTGTATGGATAAAGTTGTCTGTAAGATTTTTTCATAGATGGAATGAACGCTTTTCTAAATAGAAAACATATTTGGGAAAAGAAAAAAAAAACTTGTTTTTCTATATAGAGCTCCTCTTTACAAAATTACTGAATAAATCACATTTTATACTATTAAATCACTTTCAAACAGTCATATATTACTGAATAAATAAGCTGTCTATTTTGGATTATTAACTGTAAATTGGATGTAAATGAGTTATTTAATATATATATATATATATATATATATATATATATATATATATATATATATATAGTGGTTGGACCATCAATATATGGTATTATTCGGTCAATTTTAAAGATGCTTTGCCACTTTTTATAAAACCAGTACAATATTCGTGCATTATTTGAATATTTTTGTTTATAAGTTGGACAATGACAGTTGCTATTTTATATTATATGAAAAATATTCCCTTCTAAAAATACTGATCACAGTAGCATGAAATCTTGATAAATTACTGAACTGTCTATATTAAATTAAAACTTCAAAACCTTTCACAATTTCTTCGCTCCCTTAACTCACTCGGTCACTCCTGCTTATCCAATCTTGTCCATTCTCGTCTATGCATCAAACACACCCTAAGAAAGTCGGCTTTCTCTGCAGAAAACCTAGCAAGGATCTCAAAAGACGAGGCTGGTGTCACAAATATAATGGCGGTCGTCGGTCGAGCTAGAACCAAGGTTCTAAATGACGTGAATCGTGGTGTGCAAGACCAAGCCTCAAGCCATGTCAGAGATATTTAAGAGCTGATAAAGATAGATACATTAGTTATCAGTAAACTTATCATTTGATTGATTAAAAGTGTAAAAATTAACCATGTATAAAATTGTTTTGTCATTTCTATTTCAATTGTGGGCCCTTATTTTGGGAGGGGTGGTATATAAACATGTATTTTCTACTATTACCTAATGAGTCAATAATATTAAATAATATATATATATATATATATATATAGTAAAAGCTAACAGAACACTAAAACGGTGCATTAGACCATGGTGTGCCACATAATGTTGTGACGAAACTTTTGGAACACAAGCCAAAACCAACAAAAAGGTCTGTATGCCATGCAATATACAAACCAGAATAAGATCAACAAAGATGGTGAATCTAAGATGAGATTTTGAATTGCAAATTGTGGCAAAAAAAACAACAATTTTGATTACTAAATTTAAAATACAATGTTCTTATGTGTATACTCGTTTAAGTAACGACGATTCAAGACATGTCTAGTTCCGCAATTAATGCACAAAAATCCGATTGAAAGCTCGAGTTGCAAGTAAAAAACCGCATGAAGAAGATACAAGACATGCCAAGTTCGGGGCTCATCTGGCTACAGTTGCTTAGCCTGCTTTCTTGGTTGGTTGTTCTCGGGTAATTTAAGTACGCCTTTGTCTAGTAACGGCTGCAGCTCTTGCTTTGCCAGTTTAAGCACCATAGGATCCGAGGTTTCCAAGTATGCACAAACCACCTTTGCGCTGCAAGAACGGTTTTATACAATCATTGGATGTACAATGTTCAATAAACAAATTAAGGTTCTCCTATTGCTTAATTTAGACCATGTTTGGCATCCATAGCTTATTGAAAAAGCCTCGTTTGTTTAGCCATATAAGCTATCATTTCAATAAGCTCCTGGGCCTTTTTTCTACTTCCCTTTTCCAATTCTAGGTTATGTTACATTGTCACATAGCTTATGAGCTAGTTTTTACCAAATATGACTAGTTTTCAGCTAACAGCCAGCTAATAAGCCAGTAGCTGGCTTATCTGCCGACAGCTAGCTTATCTGCCACTAGCTAGTTTTTCAGCCAATAGCTAGCTTATCTGCAACTAGCTGGCTTATCTGCCAACAGCTAGCTTTTCAGCCAACAGCTTGCTTATTTGCTAGTTTGCCGAGCATAGCCTAAACGTTCTAAATTCATTTCAATTTTGGGTCATTGTTGTTTGAGCAACAAAGTGAAAACACGAACGGTTTTCATTGACAAAAAGGGAGTAATTAACATTGCTAATAATAAATGCAGTCAGGTTACCTGTGACCTTGGGCCCAAGTCTTGCACTTCCCTTTAAAAGCTTTTTTCCACAAAGTGGAGGCGAAAGAGGGACATTCTAGAATCAATTTTCTTATTGTCCTGCTAGAATGAAAATTCTCTAGAAGATGCTCCTCTTCTTGCCCTTCTGATTTAGGTAGTGCTACCCTAGTTGCTATAGCTTCATGTAGAGAATCCAACTTCTCATCCAAATGTGGGCGGAGGATTCCATCCGCACCACCCGAAGCAACCTGCATTCAAATTTCAAAACCACCATCAATATCGATCCAAGTGCTCTAAAACGATTAAAAATTTATGGAAAAAGACTATGAATCCAGCAAAAATCAATTTAGAGGTCTTCACGGAAACAACTGCTCTATTTTTTTAGGGTAGAGGTCATGGCTGAGTACATCTTAACCCCAGACCCCACCTTCAGGTGAAATATACTGGGCTTGTTTCCATAAAGTCCTGTATGGATAAAGCTGTCTGAATGGATTAATTTATCTGTATAGATTGAGAAGGTTTTTGTTTAAGAGGGTTTTTCATAGATGGAAGGTGTGCGTTTTTTAATTGAGAGGGGCAGGCTTGGAAAAAACTTGGCTTTCTGCATAAAGGTTCCCCTTAGAAGCTTATTGAATAAGAAACTTTCTATATCATTAAGCCACTACCAAACAGTCATGTATAGCTGACCGAATTAGCTGTGAGCCCCATTAAGCTCATTAAGTTGCTAATAAACAGACCCTTGGTTTGGTTTATGCAAGAAAAAATCTCAAAACATAGACAGGTGCACATGAAAGAAGACAAAAGTTGAGAAAGAATGAAAACAAAGTTTTTGGCCAAAATCGTCACCTCAAACAAGACCTCTCTCCCATGATTTGATCGAAGTAATTCCTCTGCACTCTCGCAACATGCGTCAATAAGACTCTGTAAAAATAAGCAGAAATGAATGTTAATTTTAAGTGCATACAAGTGTTGATTTCCCATTATTGAGATGTCCATACAAATAGACGAAAGCAAAACGAACCTCGGCAAGTCCACTATCAACCAACAACTCTTTTCTTCGCAAGATGGGATCTTTTTTCCCACCCGCTACTACTGATTGCACATTCTCCTCTGCATCACTCATATTCTCGTCACCTTCAACCTCTGAAGATTTGACATCGGTTCCTGGTTCCGAGTCACCCTAATTCAAAAAGAAATCAACTTATAATATTCCAAGCAGCTGTATCCCATTGCCTTTTTGGAAGGAACTCCCTCCGTCCCAAAATAAATGTCCACAATGAAAAAGGCACACAATTTTAGAAATGTGTAAATAATACATTTTTTAGTCAACCAAATGACTATTTTACCTTAAGAGGGAGGTTCCGGAAAGAACCCCCAAAATATGAAAAACTGAGAAACACCCTTATAACCATTCATTTGTAAGGTATGCACATGTGCATACAAGTAATTGAAGATGTTTCATGGCTTCTATGCATGTGTGCATGTTATGCACATGTGCATACTGAAAAAATTACTTACTAATACCTGTATGCACATATGCATACGGTACAGATGATGGTTACTAGAGTGTTCCTCAGTTTTTCATTTTTTGGCGGTTTTCCCCTGAACCTGACCCTTAATAATAGACAGAGTAATGAATTTCTCCATCTAATGATTAAGGATATAATTGAAAAGTGGACACTTACGTTTGAAAGCAGACATTTATTTTGAGACGAACTAAATTAAAAATGCGAACACTTATTTTGGGACGTAGGAAGTATAATAGTTACCTTTATTAGTAAAGAAGGTATGGACGAATCTAACAAAGACAAATCATCTGGACTAAGATAACGAGAACAATTTGGATGAAGAAGCTGCAATAAAGGGCGCCTTCCATTCTGAGATCATATTAAAAATAACAATTAGTACAACGATGATAAGTTTTGGGGAAAAATCATAAATTAAAATTTATAACAACGAGAGAACTTTGCACTAGTCACATGGAAAACTCTTATTGTTGTTAGGGACTTGGCAAGTGCACCGGATTGGACCAGAAAGAATTGGACAAGATTAGACGAGCAAGAATGAGGTAAACGGGTGAAAGAATTTTGGAAGGTTTTAGAGAATATGACATGGATACTTTAGTAATTTACCAATCTTGTCCACATCTCCCTAATTTTTTCCACCTCTTATGGTTGGCCAAAAACGTGCATTTTTGTCCCACTCGGTCTCGTCCAGTCTTAGTCTAATGTCACGTCAAATATGGAACAAGTTTTTATACTGTCTTGTCCTGTCCCACGTACTAAACGCATCCTTAATTATAATTAGCTTGCCAATTTCAGAAAATGCTTGCATCAATGCTTAGGACTAAAGACCTTCACTATTTGAACATTTATGAATTCAACCAATTTTGCTCAAAAATGTTCTCCTGCTTCACAAAATAACAATGAACAAGTAGAAATCAAAGTGTCCATCATTATATTAAAGGGCTTGAAAAAGAACCTTATCTAAAATCAGCTCCTTTAGTACTGCTTGGAGTTCACGAATAATGATCTGCAATTCAAAGAATTATAATAATTACCATGTGATATTTTGAGATGCTAAAGCTTAAGACAGGAGCAAGATCTAGTGACCAACCTTTTTTATCAACTGTGTGTCGTCAACAACAGAGAGAATACACGTGAGCACCTGGAAGACAGAGAAAGAATTGAGGCATAGAAAAGAGAGGAAACTGGAAAGTAACGGTTATTGACCAGAAGCATGTGGGACTCTTGCAAATCAAGATATTGGATGATACAAGATGGAGATATTTGAAGAGTACATCAAGTAAAGCTACAATGATATCAGCAAGAAGCAAAGCAACACTACATATTTGTTTCATATTGATGCAATGAACCATTCCATGTGATCAAATAAGATCTTTATCATAACCATTTTTCAAGAAGTATTTGCCAACATAAAGAAATATCAAGCCGAGTATCAAAAGGGAATCATTACGTGCGACTATCTCCACTATAGAAAGAAAAAAGTAAAGAAAGATCAAATTCGCTTTTTACCTTGCTTTGCTTATTTCATATATAAAAAATTGATGAATCTTTTAGAGAAACATATCTGCAAATCCTTTATGTTTCTTTAACATTCACAATGAATTTGCCTTATTTTGACACAACATACCATGATAACTGAAAATCCTTTTACTCCAACACACCATGATTTTGACACAACATCCATAAATATGTGAAGAATCCCATCACATGTGAATCTACAACTTGACAAGTTTTCTGCCTAGTGGGGGTGAAACAGTAATTATACAGAACAATTGAACAATATTACATTTTCTTTAGAAGTCCATCACATCTCTTCAGTTATATGGCAAAACATAGAGTTTATAGCAGAGTTAAAATCCAGCCTTACCATACTGCCAAATCTATCCTGAGCTATCTTACTGACATGACCCTTCATTCCTTTTATAATTTTCTTTCTCTCCTGCAAAGAAATAACACAATTTAACAACAAATTTGACTTATCAAATTTTTTGACATGATCCTCGTGTAAAATTTAACAAACCTGTGCACTGCCGTGTTTGATGCACAGAATCCCAATCTTGGATCCATCCTTTGTATGGATCATCCGCACAAGAAGTGCACTTGCCAAATGTTGAATAACATCTGCAGCAGAAGACTGTCCAAACACTTGATTTAGAAACACGACGAATGAACCAAAGAAAGTAAAGAAAGGGAAATTTAAAGATCCTTTCAATCAGGGAGAACAAAAGTTGAAGAGTAAAAATACCTTGCCAGCAATAGTGAAGTACTCAACAAGTGCCGTGTGTAAGATAGAGTGATCCACTATTCCTTTCTCCAAGATGGGTTGAAACACAGAGGACATATGTCTCATTACTGCCGCTTTTTGCAGATTCAGCTTGGAAATTATATCCACTAACCTGTTAACAAAGTGATATGACAGGAATGAGAGCATATTTTTTGTTTTTATGGGACCCAAGGTGCCAAGATCATGGATGACACAAAAAACATATAATAAAGGAAATGTTCCTAAATCATGTGATAGTATAACATCCACTGCAATTTGTGTTAACTACAACTACTCTTTTGTAAAAATGTTAAGTTACATAGATATTATATGATTCATTAACATGATTTTATTTTCGGGATAGCATCAACAATCCGTTTAGTGACAAATATATATATTGAAACTTGAGATGATCGATACTCCATCTGCCCCTCCCAAACAAAACCAAGCCTGCCAAATGTACAATTTTTGCAAACAAAGATAAACATACAACATGGACTTCATAAACCTGCCAAAAACCAGTAGTATTTGAGTTGCATATTTTCCTTGACTTTTATAAATAATATATTTGGGAAGGTCCATATGCTTTTCTATTTGTTAAAGATATCAATACAAAGAACTAATTCTCATGAAAACTGCATACATAAAAGACTACCATACATGTAACTATTCAAAATCATGAACGGAAGAAAAGGACGCGGTACTTGCTTATTTAGAGAAAGATGTATTTACCTGCGTTCCTTCACTAAAACAAGATCCTTGAACAACTGAAGCTCAGTGGAGTATAATTCCATAAGAAGAGCTTGCTTTTGAGTGGCATTTCCCAATTGATAAGCATGTTCAACAACTACAATAAAAAAGATGCAACATTAATTCGATAGTTAGGAGTGTTCAGAAAAACTGGAAAAGATGAAAAACCAAGCCGAACCATTTGATCCCAAACCAAAAAAAACGATAACCGAGAAATCGAAAAACCGAAAAACACCAGGTATTCATGGGTCGCTTTAGGTTTTGAATTTTAGGTACCCGAACCAAACCGGTTATAATGTATGAATAATATTAATATTAAGTATTTATATTATTATTTATTAACCCAAAGTTAAATGATTTTATGTTTTGGTGTCAAAGCATAACCATGGATGAATAAAGTTGGTGGTATGAAGTTGTGAAAGAGTCGACCTTAACCAAAAAATGGATGTTTTTTAAACAGTTAAACTTACTTTAATCCGTAGCGCTTTGATTATTTTTATTTATTTGTTGTGTGATTGTTTTAAATGTAATATTTCGGTACCATTTTTATATGGTCAATGATATTTTTTTCATAAATTCGGGTAATCGTGAACCGAACCGCGAGTAACAGCCTTACTTCGGTTCGGTGCAGTTCAATCATGTTTTGGTTTCTGTTCAGGTAGCCAGGTATCAGCCTCATGCAGTTCAATTCACATTTTCCCTACTAACTAAACTGAACCAAATCATGAACACCACTATTGATAGTACAATCTTCAAAGATCAACGAGGTATAGGTAAACAAGTATGATGCAAGGTTTAAAGTTACAAGCCAAAAACAACATACAAATAAACATGCCAATGGGATGTACACAGCCAAAGATTACCATGTTTTTTGCAAAGGGGGAATGTAATAAATCATTAAAAACGCAACAAACTACTAGAGCATCATCAAATCAGCAATTAAAAACAAGATTTTAATTTGGTTCAAATGAGTGCAATGTGTCATACCAACTGAACCAACCATATGCCGTAGAAGAGAAGCAACATGCCCGTGGAGAGAAGAAATAAACTCTGCCAGTTGTTCCTTTGAGGCTGAAAAGTGCAAAGAAAAACATAAAGATAATAAGCAACATACTCTATTTAATCTAATAACAACTTGACAAAACTAATCATATATTGTGGTCAATAGATATCATCTTAATTCTAGTACAAACCATTATCCAACAACTTTGTAATGAGATGCACTGCATAAGTGTTGCAAGCGAGGGTGAGAAAATGTGGACGAAGCTCCTCAAAAACAGCATTCCTTTCATCTTGTGAACAATACTTGGCACAAGTCTAAAGCAAATGAAACTTTATAAGTACATGTCCTAAGGAAAAGCACTTTGAAAGCAAAAAAGATAAATCTTTGGCAATCACCTGAAGTACCCGGCAAGAAACATGGGACCCTGCAATTTCATGAATTTTACCCTTCATCTTCCTTAAAGCCTCGCTCACTAACCTTTGGAATATGTTCAAAAGACCAAGCATTATGATAATATAAATAAGAAGATAATTCAATAATGTGCTACCACATAAACATGCAACCACATGCATACTTGGATCTATCTTCCTTCCCAATATTTCGACGCCTCATCTTTTCCCATAGTAAAGCAAGCTCCTGTGTTAAACAAATGAATCATAAATGAAAATGCCAATGTACATAATATGTTTTTACTCATACGCCATGATCAACTTTATAATGTATCGAATCCCCAAAAATAATGTGATCCACCAAACTGAAGTAGGAAAGGAAAAAAAACACACTCAAATGTACGCAAAATAGTAACGACGAACAAAAGACATCAGAGGAAAAGAAACTTGAATCACATTATGATGAGGCAAGCAAAAGTTGATAACTATTTAGATGCACTTAGTTACGAACCGAAATCGATTGGCCAAACTGGAATTTATCGATACAAAAGAAGAAGAAAAACTATTATAACCAGAGCCCTCATGTCAAAGACAATAATTTCCTAGGCAACAATAAGAGCACAGTGATCAAGATGTTGATTTTGTGATCGCTAAAATAGAATTAATTTATCCAAATACAACGTTTGAAACCCTTTTGCCAAAATGAATTCCCAGTCACTTTTTGTAGGTCATAGTGCAAAAAATGGGATGAGGGAGGCAGATAAATTATTAGGACTCTGACAAACATCCAAAATCTGTCATCTGCTAGTTAACGAAGCATAGCATATGTATATAATAAGCATTCATTAGAACATCTTGATCAACTGTCATAATATACAAGAAGAGACGTTTAACATGTATAGATACAATTTTATTAAAGAAACTACACACTTGCTCAAGGGTGTAATGAGGCTTTCTCTTTTTCTTCCTAGCTTCAGCAAGCTCCTGCAACAACATAAATTATAATAGTCTCGTTAGAAATGAAAATTTTATGCAGTTGCTATGATATGGGCATCATAATTGGCAATAGGAAACAAATCCTAAGGACGACTCGGAAATTTAGCAAACAAGAACTACTCAATACCACCTCTTTTAAATCAAGCTACTGTTTGATTTCTAATATCAACCCTACTACTTCTTTGAGAAATTGATGAGAGTTTTAATTGCATATTAATGTAATTAGCATATTTCCATGAAATGTTCAAATAACACATGAATCTTGAAAGTGAAAAGAGAACCTCAAAGATGACCCCTTTTGTCATCTAAAGTGAAAAAATAGCTCTTTTACTAAAGGATGAATAAAGCCAGCATTCACATTTCAAAAATCCCGAATCATTACGATGTTGCTTCCTTAAGCCTCGAAATCCCAACTACCAATGAAATCCACCTTAAGATGCTAAAGAACACTAGAAACCCACATTTATTGCTAGTTTGCTACACCTACACGCATTACAAAATAAAGAACACTTCAAACAAACCTTGGCTTGTAAACGAAGTTCTCGCTTGGTTTTGGGCACATTCTGAGCTGTGTCCGATTTATCGAATCTAGGTTTACCGTCGGCCTTTCCATGGTGATGCTTAGAGGAACTGAATGGCTTCTTAAAACCTTTGTTAGATTGGTCGTTGGAGGGCGTTTTGAGTTTCTTCTTCTGACTGGTTTTCCCTCCATCGCCGCCTTTTGTTCCGCCTGGAATTCTCTTTCTCTTGTTTGATTGATCGCCTTGTTGGTTCTTAAACGCCATTGATGTGATGATAAGCAAGCAGAAGCAGGTGATATCGGAGGGTTTTGCGAGGGTTTAAAGGTTCCGTGACGGAGGCGTGAGTGTGGGTTGTGTTTTAGGGCATCTTAGGCGAAAAGAGTATGCCTATAGAAAACAAATATTTGTGTTGAAATAAATATACGTTATTTTAGGGGTGTTTGGGATTGCTTATTTTATGTGTTTATTGACTTATTTCAGTCTGGGACCGGTGATAAGCTAATACCTAGTGTTTGGATAAGAAAAAAGAAAACTGCTTATACCGGTGCCAAACCGGTAATAAGCAGTTTTTGATAAGTTAATTCGTCCTGACTTATGAAAAACTGCTTATTACCAGTTTACCATTTTAACCCTATTACCCTTTATACCTATCTTTTTTTGACCAGATAACATCGATCTCAATCTTCTCCCTTCTCCATATAACAACATCAATCTTCTCTCTGTCCTTTTTGGTCATTTTACAGATATAAGCAAAATTTGCCAAACACTAAAAAATAACTTATCAGCTTATTGCAGTTTAGTACCGCTGTAAGCTAATCCAAACACTTTTTACAAAACTCGAGTTTGATACCACATAAGTTAATAAGCACTTTTACAAAAAGCATAAGTTGTTATGGTCCGTTTCATCATCGTTGTTGAATGGTTTGGTGTAAAATAAGTAAGTGGCCATAATGATTAAATGACTCTCATGATATAATGCAAAAAAAATATAATTGTTTGGTAATTGTTTACAATAAAATTATGGCACTTAATGGTTAAGGGGGGCCATGATACAAAATCATTCAGAGGGTTTTAATACCATTAAGAGACAGACTTTTTTTTCCAAACAATATTCACCTCTTAAGAATTCAGATGTTGCATCTTAATAGAACTACTAAGAAGTAAACAAACAATCCCTTAATTAGTATATGTTTGGTATGCACACTGAACATCCCCGATCAGTGTAAAAGTATGTGTCTATTTATATATATTTGACTCGAGATGGGAGCAGGTTTCCCTTGGGATTATCCTACACTTAGAAAAATAAGTAGAAAAAGGAATAACCTACTGCTCTAGCTAATTGTCCACCCTAAGTGCTATAGCTTGTTTCCAATACTCAGCGGCTTGATCGAATCAAGCCTCCGCAATTTCAGAATCCCCTGCCGAATGGTCTATTCTCCCAGGTCGGAATAGGTGGGTTATACAAATGAATCTGAGCATAAATGTTGTTCTCTTATCACATGTGCAGGATAACTACTCAGCGTTTGGTAAGATATGACATGAAAATTAAAATATAAGTTATTAATGTTAGAATTAGGGTATCGAGATAAACTCAAGAATCGTGTAGGAAAGCACTTTTCTAATCCAATCATTCGACTCTATTAGCTTTAGGTTCACGAATTTTGTATTGGAATAATTCTTAAGTTTTTCTCTCTATTTCAGAGGTTGTGAAACTCAAGACATATACCCAGATTCTCGTTTTACATATCTAAATTAGAGATTGACAATTATTGACGGTTTAACGGTTATAACTGTTAATGGATAATGTCGAAGAGTAGTTACCGAATCTGAACAGTGAACACACACTTTTAGTGATAGGCTGAAGACTACCTGCGTTCATCGATGGATGAAGTCCAAATTCAAAGATGTCTGAACACTAGATCCAACGATAGTTAATACGACCAGATTCAACGATAGCTAAAGACCATCCAGCGATGGCTAGCACGACCATATCTATCTCAGCCCCATGGAACCCTGCCAGGGGGCTAGCCCTATGACCCCACAAGGGGGCGCGACCTCCTTGACCCCTGCTTTTATTGCAAGCTAAGTAATAAGGGCAACATTTGCAAGTATGCATTCCACACCTCCTTACTCACGTATGTTTGTCTGGTCGCCTTGATCGATCTCAAGCAAATCACAAATACGCCAAAATGTTTGATGACCCTTAAATCACTGACAATTAATGTTACAATATATCTTGATTTCTACAGTATTTTTAATTACCTTACTTTTAATATTAAAAACATAATTTCCCAAAAAACTATTTATTATGTTTCTTAAATATAAGGTTAACCAGTCAAGTGAATAACAGAGTACTCAAGTCTTGGACATAAGCTCAATTGATAAATGAACATGATGATTTTGTCTAAACACAAGACATGTATCGGATTCGATCTCCCCTACCCTCAGTCGAGTGAGCCAAAAATTGGCCATTTTACATTGATATCCTTAGAGCATCTCCAATGCAAAGTTTTTATAGGTAAAAATTACAGATTCTCATAAGAACCAACATAAAGGAAAGGTATATAATAATCAATTTAAAGATATTCTAATTAAAATATTACATTCTTTTTTTATTGTATTGTTTGTATTAATATATTATATTATTAAATATTTGTTTTAATTATATCATAAAATATTTAATTGACTTATATTTTAAGATGTCATTTTTTGTCATTTTACATGTTTATCATCTAGTTTTTGTTAAACATGATTTATTCACCAACTAGTTTATCAGTCATTAGCTAGTCTATTAAAAATCAACTTGCTGATAAACTAACTAATGAACAAATCATGTTTGACAAAACTAACGGATAAGGATATAAAATGATCAAAGTGAAACATCTGTTAGCTTATTGGGCTATGTATTATTCAACTTTTTGTGTCGACTTATATTGTTCAGAGCAAAAGGAATTTCGCAATTCTTTGCTTCAAAGGTAATTTGACGGTAAATAATTAAATACAAATTGTTAGTTTATTTGAAGTTGACACAGAAAAACTCAATAATTTGTTGTGAACAGTGAAAACAATACTGAAAAAATGATTTAGAGTCAGGGGTGATTGGGATTGCTTATTTGAAATAACTTATGTTTTTTCAACAAAAGTACTTAATAACTTATTATAAGTTAGAAGGATTTAACTTCTTAAAAAAACTTCTTATTACCGGTTTGGCACCGGTATAAGTTGTTTACCCAAACACTCAAAAATGTTTATTATCGGTATCACACCGGAATAAGTCAATGAGTTATTTTTATAAGCAATCTCAAACACTCCCTAAGACAAACAAATAAAGTGAGTGGAAAAAAATCATGATATGGAAGTTCTAATTATGACGTTTTTTATAAGTTAAGGGTAAAATTTATGAAAACAGGACCGAGTTCACTTTCAGTAATATTCTACTAATCAAAACATTCATTTGGAAACCCACGATTACTGTTTTTCTATTTTTAGGAACAAAAGTGGAATCAACTTTGTTTTCATTCATACTTTCGCAAACAATCATTTGGTTACCAATCCTTTAACTGGGAGGTTTTGAAGCATGGTTCTCGACTTCTTACAGATAAAACAATTGATCATATAACTGGTTGGTAAATAAAAAATTGGTTGATTTTGATTATATTTTATTCAACATGTTTTCTTAAAAATTGGTTGATTTTGATTATATTTTACTAGAAGGATACTCGCACAATATAATGAGATACATTTCGATTTTTTTTTTGTCTCAATTGATGTTATAACACAGTTTTATGTTGTTTTGAGAAAACGATGGTTTTTTATTTTTGAACAAAATATAAACATGAAGATATATCATTAAAAAAACATTTTTTGTATATTAGTTCCAAACTAACTATTTAAAATTTCTTTTTTTTTTTGTGTATTTTTTTAATTCAATTTTTTTTTTGTTTTTCGTTTAATAATACTAGAAGGGTACTCGCACAATTCAGCGAGATATATCTCGATTTTAATGTTTCATTTTATTAATTTTATCTATCGATATAATAGGGTTTTACGTGGTTTTCGAAAACGATAATATTTTTATTAAACGAAATATAAATTTGAAAAAAAAATATATCGATATTAATCTATACTACATTATAAAGCATTTGGCTAAAACTCTTAAAAACTCTTAAAACTCTTAAAAACTCTTAAAAACTCTTAAAACTCTTAAACTCATTCATCCTTATCCGATTTCATCCCATATCTGAATTTGTGTAACTAAATGCAGATAAACACAATCAAATACAGGATAAACA